CTTTTCATGCTCCATGATATAAATCAAACTGAAGTATTTTACTTACCAACGTCGACTCTGCAAACTCACAGTTGCCCCTTCCCTTCTTCATTTAAGCGACTACTCATTTGACCCTGCAATGAATACTGTTGCAGAGGTTTGTACGAGTCACTAAATTTTCCGCTAACATTGTAGAGTACTATATTATTTCACTCAGGAAATCAATTTTCTTATGACAAGAAAAAATAACATAAATAAGTAATAGCTCAGAGGAAGATGTTAGAAGGAAAAATGTAGACACGATCATTATGCAATCTATTGGACATAACAGAAAAACCACTACCTCTCAGTTTGTCCTAAAAGAAACTCTAGTTGCTTATCCAGTGCCTTTTTCTTCTTTTCATCCAGCTCCATCTGATGCTTGTAAAGAACCTGGATTTACATTTTACACCGACCAACGAATTTCTAGAAACTCTGAGAATAAAAAGAAATCATAAAGTTGATGGATAGTCCACATATTATGATAAACTTGCCAGCTTCTCTATTTTCATCCAAAACTTCTTGACATCCTTTGAAATGTTAAGAGCAACCTTCCGCAACCGCTGTTCTTCTTCCTGATTAATAGTAATGCTAATTAAGATTAGGGGAAAAAAAGATAAAGAAAACTTTTAAAAAAATATTGTTTCCTTTTTCATTTTCTCATTTATCTCTATCATTATTTGACAAACTGCAATGTCTTATGCAACCTAGGAAAATCCATTCAGGTGCAAACACAAAAGACAACACCTTCAGTTTCTTTTCTCCTCGTGTGGCGTGATCCAACATTCCCTTGCTGGCTCTAAATGCAACCTTCTTTGCCTGAGCCAATTTCCATTTCCTTTCAGATTCAAAATCCTGCAATAAGTACCTGGCTGATTAGTAGCAGTATTTTTTTGTTTTTGAAATAAGCTGATAAGCAACAGTATGAACAGTCCATATTTCATAATTTAATTATCCACTTAACTGAGAGAAAGTAAGATGATGAGTTGAAGCAAGAAGTAAATAAATTAAAAAGTGCCTTTACTAAAATAAATGAATCTTTTAACATCCACAGTCAATTACCTTCGAAAGCCAAACCATCTCTTCCAAGACATGATCCCAATGAGTTTTAGGGCGACGAGGTTCTCTAGGAGCTTCAAGAGCCTAACCCAAGTCAGCAAGGAAGAATAAGTATTTTGCAATTGATAAAATATGGAGCAATCAATATGTTATCTTAACTAAAAAAGCACATAAAGCCAGAAGGTTCCTCAACTTGTGAACCAAAATAGAATCCAAAGCATAGTGGTAGGTGGTATAGCCAATCATATGGACAAAATACTATAAAGATTCTCCAGGCCTTCTCCATCAAAGAGAGGCCTGAGAGGGTGACTTCAAGCAAAACATGCAAGGTAAGGAACCAGTAATCTCCAATGCTACCAAAAGGAGAACAAATGTCCTAAAAAATTCTTCCAAATAACCATAAAATGTCTGAAGGAATTAAGGAGAGAAGCTTCCTGCTATAACTTAACACACAGGCTATCCCCAACCAAATGTGAGTAGCCATTATTCCTCCAACAATTCATGACAAGAAGGCAAAATCCCACAACGTTATAGCCTCCAAGCACCAAAATGAGATCGTTGAGGGATTTGCTCTCAAAAAGACACATTGACAGTCTAATACAATTCTTCCACTTCCCCTCAAATTCCCAATAGTAAGGATTCTTCCTTTTGTCAGATTCCCAAGAAAAAAATAAGTTGCTGATAGAAAGACTTCACCAAGAATATACCATTGCTAAAAAGGGAAGGCATTGAGTTATCATTCTCATCAAGGAGCAACTTGCAAGGGACGAAGCAAACTAGTAAAAAGACCTTCATCAACCTCCCAATCACTCTAGCACAAAAAGATATGGCATTCCAAGATGAGCTTTGGAAACCATTCACCTATGGATAGTCACTCACCATTACCTCCTCATCTCTAGCAAGATCAAAGAATTTTTTGAGAAAAAAATATCCAATAAACAGAATATTTAAGATATGATGATGATATGTTAACAGAATTGTAAAGCTTTTGTTTACCGGCTGCACCACTTTGTTGATTTTTAATGCTATTCTTTTTATTTCT